CTGTGACCAGGGCATCAGTTCAAGTGGTCTCTGTCAGGCCACAGGCTAGATGCAGAGCCCCCCTGACTTTCTGAGGAAGTCATAGTGTTGGCAACTAGATTTCACTATCATCTTCATGGAGGGCTCCAGCTGGCTGGCTGGTATTTTGCTGCTATATGTTGCATTCTCTGGGATAAGCTGGGCTCAAGAACACAGACCATCTGCACCAGTCGTAGCTGAGCTAGTGATGAAATGCTGGGGCCTAATTCCCCGATGAAGAGGTGGTCAGCACTGAAACAGTTCTACAGCAGGACGAAGATGGGACCACAGACTTACCCTCTTCAGGACAGCAAATGAGGACCAGGGCTTCTGACAGGAAGCCTGGGGCAGGTAGGGCAGTGTTCCCTGGAGGGCTCTTGGGCAGCTGGAATCAAAGAGCAGACATGCAAGGGAAAGCCTCACTGCTAGACACAGGGCCTCCAGAACCAAACCTGGGGCAACCTGTGTGCTTCCTTCCACCAGATCATGGAGCCATCTGCTGGGACTATGGGGGCTGCTGGAGCTTGTCTCTGCTCCTCTAAACCCCTTGCCCCTGTGAGGCCCCTGGGATCACCTGTGCAGTGGGGCTCCGATGGCTCAGCAGAAGCTGGGCCCACTCTCCCTGCTGGGAGCTGTGCAGGCACCACAAGAGTGTGTGAGGTGGTACAGACACACACCCCCACCTTGCCTTGTCACATCTCTAGGAGATGACTGGAGCATTTCATCACCTGGCCCTGTGTCACCCAGCAGCAAGGGAAGTTGAGAACGAAGGTGTAGCCACGCACAGGGCTTTGTGGCTGAAGCAGAAGCTAGAACAGCAGCCATCAGTGCCACTAAGATGGGTCAGAGTGAGTTGCTGGTATTTAAATTTGGAGTCCCTAACCCTTTAGAAGGGTTTGGAATTCAGAACTCTCAACCCAAGTAAAACCTTTGTCTTCAGGAAAGCATTGCCAGGCATGGAGGGAGATGGAAAGGGTCCCACCACTGAATGCAGAGTGGGGCGTAGAAGCCAGGGCTTTGCTCCCCAACCCACAGGTAGAAAGCCACAGTTCTCCCAGCCAAAAGATCTTCACCTGCTCCCTGAACATCCTTCAGTCTGAAGATGACTTCCTGCCCATTAAAAGGTTGTTTCCAGCCAGAAATTTAGTTTAGTGGTTGCAGCGCCTGCCTCACAAGTGCAAGGACTGGAGCTGGAAGTTAGATCCCTGGTACCAAAAACAAAAAGGCCAGGAAAAAGGTGGTTTCCAGAGCTGCGAATGCAGCTCAGCAGGAGATTGCTTGCCTAGCAGCCTAGAGTCAGGCTCCAGCAGGGTTGTTTGCTTTTTACCTGTGGAAAGGAAATTAACTTAAAATACCAGCTCTTCAGGGCACACTAGGAGACCTGCTAAGTACAGGCTGAGTCAAATAGTGCAGAGTAAGGAGTCCAACAGGCAATTGCAGCCTTCCTAAGCTGCTGTTAGGGGAAGGGCCCCACCTGTGAGGAGTCTAGACTGCTCTCAAAAGTTAAGAGCAGTGAAATGAGCCAGGACTTGGAGCCGGCTGACCCAAGGCCATTCTCTTTCAACCTTAGTTTCCCCACGTAGGAGGTGTCATTGAAATCACAGCAGACTTGAAGGGCTCCCATGGGCAGGGACACATAGGACTTTAAAAACACTGTTGAGGGGCCGGGGGTTTAGCTCAGTGGTTCCGCCGCCTGCCCCGTGAGCACGAGGACCTAAGTTCGATCCCCGGTACCAAAAAATAAAAACACTGCTGAAAAATTTGAGGGCCTTGGGTGCAGCTCGATGGTAGAACACTTGCTTAGCTTGCACAAGGCCCTAAGTTTGATCGATCTTCAGCACTGCAAAAAATAAAATTTATTTTGGCTTATATAAGTAATACATGTTAACTATAGAAAATTTGGAAAATGAAGTATAAAGAAGGAAATCACCTGTTACCCTACCACCCACAGCAACGACTGTTCTGGGGTTTTTCCATACATATTCTGTGTGGGATCTCAGGGTACAAGCTGTTTTATAACCTGTTTTTCTTGTCAGCTTTCTCGCCTGTCACCCTCTCAGTAGTTCCCCACACTGTGGGCCCCAAGGAGCAGTGGGGTTTGCCAGCCTTCTATTGTTGGCAAACAGTCCTGACCAGTTCTTGCCTATTCTAAGTAATCAAATCTCTTAATTACTTCTGTGGGGCGGTGGCACTTAAATGTCACATGTCTAGAGATATGGCTGGTGGTCACAAGGTGAGGGGTGACAGGCACTGCTGGCCATCGTGGTTGGAGGCCAAGGGTGCCACTGCAGGTCCTTAGGCACACAGGACACCACTGCCGGGCCCCACCTATATCGGTGCCTCTGTTGAAGCCCTGCACAGTAGCATCACTCCGTGCCAGAAGTCATGGCACTAACACTCCCTCCACCAGGAGCCCCCTACACACAGCCGTCCTGCCTGTGCCGTCCCTGGTGGGGTCGGGTTCTTGGTTTGAATGTACCCGCTTAAATCTGAATCCAGAGGGGAGGCAAACTTGTCTGGGAAGTTGGAGGTCTGCTCAGCACAAGCAGGTGCCACTGCTGTCCCCAAGTGGGGGAATGAGGAGCCTTCCCTCCTCCCAAACATTAACACAGCTTCCAAGAGCACATGGAACCTAGCACAGTAAGAGCAAAAGTGAAAATCAGACATGGGAGAACCATGGGCAGGAAAAAACACCAGGGCCCAGGACAGCCACTGCAGTTCTGAGCAGCAGCCAAGGAGACAGTGCTGCTCTAGCCTGGAACCATGTTCCGTAGGCCTCAGGGCAGCAGATCCGCAGCCTCACTCCCAGTTCCCTGGTAGCCAGAAAGCAAGGCCAGGACCAGAATTTCACTGCCTAGAAAAGAAGTGCCCTCCTCTCTGAGCCAGGCCCTGCTTGCCGGGTCTTCAGGACAGTGAGGAGGCCTGTGCAGGGTGCAGAATTTGAGGCTTCATCTTGTTATGCCCTTTTAGTTCCGGGCATGCTTAGATCAAGAGGGCAGACAAGAGGGGATGTTGGGGCACTGAAAGGGGGACTAGGCCCCAGCGGTGGGCCCACTTGATGGGGTCAGTGCTGCCCCATGACAATCCAGCTCTGTCATGGCTTGTGTCTCATCCCTTTAAAGCCTCCTGAGGTCATGGGGGCTTTTTCAGAGGTGGCTGGATCTAGAGTGTGTGGTGCTGGGACTACGGGTGTATGATTACTAAATAAGTCCACTGACTGGTTTGGCACCATCCTACACCCAGTATCACAGGATGGAATATATAAGGGGCAGAAAGAAGCTGCTAAGGTCCCTTGCTTACTTTACTGCCTTCTGCTTACCATGAACTGTTTCTCTGTGGAATTCCCCTCTGCCATGCCACCATGCCTTGGAGCCAGCAGACTATGTACTGAAACTTCTACAAACTGTAAGCCAAATAAAACCTTTCCTCCTTTAACTTAGTTTTTGTTTTAGTACCAGGGATCGAACTCAGGCCCTTCCACTTATAAGGCAGGTGCCAGATCCACTGAGCTAAATCCCCAGGTTTGGATCAGATATTTTGTCTCAGCAACAAGAAGCATAACTAAGGCAGGCTCTGAGAGGGCCTGACTGACAGAGGGGTCTTCTGCTGTCCCTGGGCTCTGGGATCCCCAGTGGGAGGGCAGCATGGGCACCAGTTTCAGGAGAACACAGGAAGGCAGGTGGACCAGGAAACCCTCACCTCATTGCAGGCCACATCTCTCCCTTCCATTTTCCCCCCAGTATTATGGATGGAACCTGGAACCTTTGCCCTGAGCTACATCCCCAGCCTTTTTTTATTTCTTGAGAGAGTGTCTCACTAATTTGCCCAGGCTGGGCATGAATTCACTTGTAACCTTTCCTCAGCCTCCCAGAGTACAGCACCACACCCAGCTCCCTTCCCTCCTTCTGATGGAGCTACTCATAGGAAGCCTTGTGGCAGTGACATCAGACCGGGAGCGCTTGGCCAGCCATGTCCCCAGTGTGCCTGCTGTCCCTTCCTCTGCCTCAGCCTCACTTCCAGAGTGGTTCACTTCCTGTGCTTACATGGGGTGGTTCCAGAGGCTGATTCTACACACCCTATCTCCCCTGAGTCACCCGCTAAAGTCAACAGTTGCTGGAGGACAAGAAGCTGAGAAGGAGCTGGCCTCCATCCAGGCCAACCTGGGGCCTTCCAGGCAAAAGGTAAGTTGGGAATGGGGCAGCCAGGGAGAAGCACACACAGGTCCCTGAGAGCTGTCCCCCAGCCTTTGTCCCTGAGCCTGGGATCTGAGCTGACACGTTCCCAGGGCCTAAGACATGTGAGCCATTAACTCCCATCCTGAGCTGGCAAGGATGTGGTAGCCACGGGTGGTGGCTCAGGCCCTGATCCCAGGGTGGTGGTGGAGGCCCTGGCCAGCAGGTGGCATTGCAGGCTGCTGACAGAGACAGCTGTAGGAGGTCAGCACCCAAACCCATAAAGGCTGCTGGAAACAGATGGGGAATAGGACCCTGGCCAGGAAGAGCTCACCCTCAACTGCCCAAGCCCCCTCTTGCCCCAGGATTCCTGAGGGGCTGCAGCAGGTCAAGACCCAAGGCGCCTGCAGCAGGCTGGGAGGGGCCGGAGAGCTGTGCCTACGAGGGAGCAGGGGAGCCTGAGGTGGAGCCAGGACGGAAGGAAGCAAGGACAGATGATTTAGGAGATGAGTAGCTGCTGGGGAGCAAAACACAAGGGAGCTGGGGAGATGCCTGGGATGGAAGCTATCAAGTGTCTGGGCTCCTGCCATCTGGCACCTCACCCTGTGGATGGACTGAGCAATGCGAGGCACCACCCCCAGGCCAGATGACCTTAGATGCTCAGGCTGCTGCTCCTCACTTGTTTCCTCCTGCCCCCTCCCCGAAGTGACAAGGGGTTGGATAGGGCATAGCGGGGACCCCTGCCATCTCAGGCAGAGAGGCACCACTGGCTGGCTTCCCTGCGGAAGGAGAAGCACCACTCAGACACAGTGCAGGCCAAAACCCTAGTTTATTTCAGCATCAGCAGCAGCTCAGCCATCAAAAAATAAACTCTACCCAGGGCGATGGAAGTCTTTACAGAGAGGCTAAGGGCTCAGCCGCCAGGCGGCAGAATCAGGGGCACATGGCGGGCATTGCCCAGGGCAATAAGTTAGGAAGCAGCAGGCTGGTGGTAGTGTGGGCCAGGCTTCACTTCTGGGCGGGCATGAGGTCATCGATGGCCTGGCCCTGCTCCAGCCGCTGCTCCATTTCAATAAGCAGCTTCACCCCATCCACTACCATCTGTACCAGCTCCACCTCCGAGAAGCCCAGGCGGTCAGCATTAGAGACATCGAAGACCCCGCCCACGGCAGCTGTGTCCACACCGCCTGCAGATGGAGGGCTGGCCAGGTCAGCGGTGCAGAGGACATGTGCTGGGTGAGGAGGGGGCCACCAACACCACCCACCTCTCACCTGTGCCTCGCTTCTGCAGCCGAAGCCTCTTGAGCACCTCAGGGAATTTCTCATGCTTGCCCAGGTGGGGAAGCTTGATGTGCACACCTGCCCGCAGCCCAGTGCCCAGGTTGGATGGGCAGGTGAGGATGTAGCCCAGGTGTGGGTTCCACATGAACTCATAGTTCTTAGACTTGAACAGAGTTTCAATCTGTGGGTGCAGAAGGGGTGTGAGGGGAAGGCTGGCTATGGAGGTACACAGGGCACCCCCATCCCACCTGAGCTCTGGGATCCTCTCCCCCCACCGCTGGGCTGACCTGGGTGAGGCCAGTGCAGAAGCGGGTGAACACCTCCTTCATGTTGCCCCCCTTCTGCATGGAGATGACCCGCAGGTGGTCCTCCTCATTGATCCACACCAGGAAAGTCTTATTGTCATTGTGCCTGGGGGAGGGGTCAGGAAGGCCAAGGCTCCTACGTGGTACTGAGGATTGAACCCGGGCCTTGCCCTTGCTAAGCAAGGATACGTTACTGCGCTAAGCTCCAGGCCCCCTTTCAGGAATTCAGTCTCCCACACAGCACAAAAGGCGTCCTGCAGGGGACCCCAGCCCCATCAGCACTGGGGAAGGCGGAGTGCCAGGACACTTCACACCAGCACACCCCGACATGCCAGTCGCGCGTGCCTGTGGTGCGAGCAGACCAGGTCCCCACTTAGGCGGCGAGGCAGTAGTCAGGCCAGCCCTGGGGATGGGGCCCTGCGGAGGGACTCGGAGGAGGGTTCTGCGTCACCAGCATCTGGCAGGGTCCCGGGAGAGCGGGGGTGAAGAGCCGAAAGAAAACAGGCTGGGCTCCCAAAGGAGGTTGGAGGAGACGCCAAGGAGACAGCTCAGGTAGGGCTTCCGCAATGGCGCGGAGGGGGCGCCCGGACCGGGAACCCGCCGGCCTTTACGTCACCAGCCTGGCAGGGTCCCGGGAGAGCGGGGGTGAAGAGCCGAAAGAAAACAGGCTGGGCTCCCAAAGGAGGTTGGAGGAGACGCCAAGGAGACAGCTCAGGTAGGGCTTCCGCAATGGCGCGGAGGGGGCGCCCGCGG